CCCCACAGGTATGGATGCTAATTTTGGGTGGGGGGTTTGCTTTGGGACTAAGATGTGAATTGAGTTTAGGTTAGTTTTAGGGTCAGGTACCTGTGAGGTTAGTTTTAGGGTAAATGCTCAGGGGTGGGCTATAGAAATTACTAAAACAATGAATGGAAGTCGATCTACAGTCCCCATGGGGATATAAAAACAAACTTGTGTGTGTGGGTGTATTTGTGTGAGCACGAGCGCACACCCAGAAAAGGCCGCAGGGCAGTGCAGAGTGAATCTAGAAGTGCAAACTCACATCAGCTGTAGCAGCCCATGAATAACAGGAATTATGGTTTAAATCCTTGGTGGTGAAAATCTGTTGACATCAAAACAGGTTCTCAAGGACAGAGTGGAGGAACATGAAAACTGGCTGAAAAGCTAGGGCAGAGATTATGGTTTAAGTTACTTGAGTTAAAGGCTGATAAACCCTGATCTGGAGTGTTTTAAATTAGTTTATACTCAGATGAGAAGCTTTCATTGTAAAACATTAGCAGCAGTAAACTGTAGGGGTGTCCCGATACCAGTTTTTTCAAGACTGAGTACAAGTACGAGTACTTCAGTTTAGGCACTCACTGATACCGATACCGATACCAAGTAGCGGGGTTAGGGTGGATTATCTGTTCAACTTGTTGAATATTAAACAGAATGAAAATGAAATGCAATTATCATGCAAAAATTGATGGGTAAATATTATGTTTGACAATAAAAGGGTAGTGCAAACTCTGACAAGTAGATAAGTTGGTAWATATATCACACCATAACTTTTGAAACCATTTATTTTATTTCAAACAGGCTCTTTTTTATAAGGCCACACTCCCTCTGGATGTATTAACAAAACAAATACTGCAAATCAAATGCTGTTGCATACATTAAAAAATAAAATAAGTCATTTTTATACATTTTCCTCAACATGCAACTACCAAATTTAAATTAAAATGTAAAATATAACGTAAATTTTTGCAGCACATCTATAGAAGTTTACTCTGCTTCAGTCTTAAACTGTTTTAAAAATGACTAATAGTAATAAAGTGCAGTAAATTTCAGTTCAAACTTAAATGGAACAACTAAAACAA